AGGGCTTGCAGTGCATCTGGAAGGTAAATCCAAGCTCTGTAGAGCTAAGGAACCAGCCAGTTCTGGAACCTGTTGCTGCCATGGAACAGTGCCTTACCAGCTGCCTGCCCACGTTCAAAATGCCTCCTGAGTTCCTCTGCTGATCTACACCACAAATAATTTTGAAGACTACCTGCTCCTCACAGTTTACAAAAACTACTCCCAAAGCATTTTTAGTTTTACAGGTCAAAAAGAACAGCTGAAACTGCACTATAAAGCCAGTGACAAATATTGCTGCCTACAGGTACACAGAAAGGAGAGTTTCAAAAAATAGCAAGGCCAGTATGATTAATATCCTGTAACAATACAAGAAAGCAAGATGAATTTTGAGTTTCCTGTGAAAACGTTTCATGGAACCATCAAAACAACTTGCTTTCCAAATTAAGTTTCCCTTCATCAAAATAAGCATCATGTCTGTGTAAGTTGGGGAAACTGTCTAACCACAGCCACTCCTTGTCTTCATTTAGATGCCAGGGTACTGGAGAACTGGAAAGTAATTAAGAAAACAGGAACCATTCTTGGAGGGCTGAGTTTTTTGTTCTTTTTTTGGGGGGGGGGAAGGAGGGTGTTGGGGGATGCATGGCCAGTGAGTTCACTGCTAAAGACTTCACTCTTAATCATCTGCAGTTTTTAATGAAGTTTTTTCTGGATTTTTTTTTTTTTTTTTTTTTTTTTTTGTTAGTGATTTGCATGATACTTTTTAGTAATGAAAACATTCCAGCACATAAAAACAGCACAGATCCCTGCAGTTTAGAGAATTCTCAGAAGTTTAGTCAGAAGCTAAAAATGCTGCTTAAACAAATCAGGTACAAGCGAGAGCATAATAAAAGGCTCAGCTGTGTCCTTGTATTGTGCATACAACATACTTCTTATTTACAATATATACCATGAGAACTGATTGTATCTTTCTGATGATAAAAGCAGCAAAATGACTTAAACCCAGTTAAACGTTTGGATCGAATGTGCATTTTGCAGTTTCCTAAGGAGGCATTAGCATGGATTCCAAGAGACTGGGTCTAACCAGCTTTCAGCGAAACTCAAATATGCTAAGGACACACCTACACTAACTGTTTTGATAGTGATGTTACTGCACGTCTATAAACCAGAGACTATTTACACTGCAGTGCCTACTTTCAAGATCTCACATTTATCCAGGCAGCCTCTTCACACAGAAGTCTTTGACATCGTAGACAGACGCTCCAACTATTCCATGTTTTTTTGGTCCTGACTCAATGTGCTCCTGCTCCAAGCTTTGTCTCTATGTGTAATCAGGCACAAATCCAAAGCAGACATAAGCAGTCCACAAGTCAGCTGCTAAGTGGAAACTGGTTTCCAGAGGAGAAACCAAGTGCAGACAGTTTGAATGTAGGCTGGATATAAACCAGAAAGGGCAGCTCAGACACTCTGATCTCAAAAGCAGTCAAAGAATTTTCTGAAAATGTTTTTTTTCAGAACACGTTGCAGTCTTCCTTCAGCAGATACAAGCATGTATGCTAGATAAGCAAAACAACCCGTCAGTGCTAACAAACCTCATTTCAAATACCACATGGATAACTGTTATAGCTTCCCCCACCCTCAACTTCAACAATCCCAAATTCTCAGTTTGCTTTGACCATTCTCCTGTAAAATTTCCATTAAACTACTTTTAAATGGTTTTTAGTCTTCAAAACCTGAAGTAGAGATTAAATGACAAAGTATTCTATAAACACAAGATCTCACATGTATTGTGATACGGGAAATTAAACACAGAAAACAAATTATTGATGCACTACACAGATGGCATTGTGGCTTCTGTGTCAAGGCAGCCTGGTGTAATTATTTTTGGAAGGATCTTTTGTTTACGTTTAAGCATTCCAAACCCATTTTTGCTGGACCACAGTCCATCAGGTAACAGGCAGGTTGTGATTTTTCATAGACAGGTGGGGCTTGACTTTTTAGGACAATCTTTTCATAGCACATAGCTACAGGTCTTTTCTTTCCTGATGACACAGGAGCAGTACGTCATGCTTTGTACCAAACACAGAGGGGATGTTTCAGGCCTCAGAAGAGAGTGGCCAGGAGGGGATCGAACAGAGCTCACGTGTGGACTCCCACTCCACTTCGTCTGCACTTTCTAGGAGGCTTTGGCACAACCAATAGCGCACACAAACACACACAAAAAAAAGAGGCTGTACGCCCCTTGTTCCCCAGCTGCCATTTTGACATCTAGCTGCTGCCACCAGGATACTGTAGAAAAACACAGAGCAGGGTAAGAAGACAAGAAAGTAAATTTTTGTATCTTAGTATCCTTGCTCCTAGCAAACTGTCGGAGCACAACTAATAATGCGACACAAAGTTATCTCTGCTTCATAAAAAAAACGATCCAGCAGAAGAAATTAAGAACTAGGAAATCTGTGTGCAAGAGGAAGTAAAACAAGATTTCACGCTATGAACTCATCCTCACTAGATTGGAAATTAGGGGTAAATAATTCCAAAGCAAGCAAGCTGGCTGACCTCAGGAAAAGCTCGCTGTTGATAACTGGTTAACTCACTGTAGTTGTTGGTTCACCCACTGCATGTCACTCCAGTTTTCGGTCAGTGCAACCAGCGAATACTAAAGACCTACTCAGAAATGCAGTTTCAATTTTGCTATCGTTGTTATATTTAACTCTTCAGTAGTGAATGTTAAACTGTTCAGTCTTCCTTGCTAAAGCCGTGTTTTATTTGTAGTACAGAAACATAATTAAACCTTAAATTAAGCACAACTGAAATTTTGGTGTACCCAGTAATTTACATAAATCATTGTTATTTAATACGTTAATAGCTAAGATAAAGTTTATAAACCCCAGAGTGCAACAAACTCAATTTGGAATTACAAGCACACAGCAATTTGTAAAACATGTCATCTAAATCTACAGTAATTATGACCCTGCTTAAGGGTAATTCCCAACTTAATCACATTAAATACACTATTATTTCCAAGACTTAAAAGGCCAAAATGGGCATTTATCTTGCATTTTGCTTGAATAAAAGCAAAGTGCTACCCAAGGAAGGGAAAAAATAAAGCAAAAAAGAAAAAAAACAGGGTTATAAAGTTCTGTCTACATACACAGAGCATGAACACATGACGTTTTGTACATTAAAACACACACATGGGCCTAAATACCTCACTTCTTTCTCAACAGGCTTTTGAGAGTTATTAATCTAACTCTGCTTGAAAAAATTATGCTAACATATAAGGACCCCCTTTCTCTTCCCGTGATGAATTCTCAGCTTCTCATGCTCCCTCCCTCCATGGTTACCTGTACACTTCAGAAAAATAAAATGCTTTAAGAAAACCAGAACTCTGGGATATACTGATTTCCAGGATGTACAGCACAATGCCTTGTCACAATGTTTTCAGATGTCACGTGAAAACTGTTAACAAACATTAACTGATTCCATAACTGTATAAACGTAGCACAGCATGGTAACTTTCCCACAGGACCTGGAATTACCTAGAAATTCTCAAATATGCCAAATAATTCTTCACAAGCAAATACTTTACTGTACTTATCCTGGTTTTGTATCCCCAGAATGGATTTTGTATCTTCTCTCATATAAGCTCATTCATTTTCTTCGGCTGTGTCCTAGTCCACTTTTTCTTTTTAAATGCCAATAACACAAAAATTGGCATTAAAACAATAATTACAACATCATTTTTTAACTGAACTTAAAAGGCCTTTAAATAAACACATCTGGGAAAAGGCCTTATGGCATCAGTTGCCATGGAGCAGGCAAAACAATGAATCTTTGTAATCACTCTGCTCTTCTAAGAACAGATCCAAAGGCTATTTAAGGCGATAGAAATCTTCTCTGACTTGGGGAGTTGTAGACTGCATACTGTAATTTGCAACTACCTATCTCAAAAAAAGAAAAGCACACCACACCTTTACAAAATATAAGATAGCTTTATCCCCGTGTGAAAGAGCAATACTGAAGGACAGAGACCATAAACCCTACAGAGGAAAACCACAATAACTATTCAACGTGACCTTGCAGATCTCTAGGAGAGCTAAAAGTGAAGTAGATCTACACGTTCAGCTTCTTTATTCCATTCCATAAAAGAAGACACTCAGCTTTTGACAGTGAGGAAAGAAAAGGGTCTGTCTTTCACTCCTCAAAGGAAACCTTGCCAGTGAAAGTCTGAAGTCTGTAGCAAACTCTCTCCTTAGGCCTGGTTGGTGGATCTGAATTAACATTCTGATTTTGATTTGGGGGGGAGGGGGTGGGGAGGAGGGAGAGAATTTCCACAGAGATAAAAACATTATTAAACATTAAGATTAATCTAGTAAAGCAGCAAGACAACCCAGAAAGCTACAGCAAGTTGTAAAACACACAAAATTTCAGAGATGGAAATAGGAAAGCATAAAGAGGATTAGATCACAGTCACACCAGTCGCCAAAGCCAGGATTCCTGACTGAAAATTCTCTGCTGTCAGTACTCTGACCTGATTTTGTGACTCAAAGTCAGCAGTTGATCTTCCAAACCCACACTTGTGTGGAAAGCTATTGTAAATGATATTTCATACTCTGCAATGCTGAATATTTACATCTATAGGAACAACATCCAAAGAAATGATATGAGAGCATTCTTTCTTAGTACAGCATGTAGAATTTTCTTACAAAGAACTATGAAAAACTGATCATGCTGCTTCTGAGAGGATCCTTTATTCTCTTGTTCTGCCTACCGCCGCTTCCCTTAGTGCTGCTAACAGCAAGACATTCCTGGTGTTCAAAAGTAGTCAGCAGTTACTAGATAGCTACATATCATTATGATATTACTAAGCAATTCAAAGCTTCTTTTGACAGATCCATAGACCTGTGTGATTATTAATTTCTGTTTGAATTACATGCAAATTTTCTCTCTCTCAAAAAAAAAAAAAAAAAAAAAGAAACACAACCAGGAGACCCTCAGCATCCACGCACGGTGCTGTGACTCACCCCAGCAGCAGAGCCGTGCCTGAGCAGTACAAGCTGCGAGCTAGTTTACCAACAGCAAGCAGTGGTTCTTCAAGAGAAAACACCTTCTTTGTACAAATCCATGGTAAGAAGGAGAGCAGATGCTTGGAAATCCCCCCAAGAAAAGTGCAGGCACTGACAAGGAGCCAGAGAGCCGCACTGGAAAGGAGTTCATCTGTAAGCTAAGAAGGCCACTCTACTATTGCCAGGAATTGTATATCAAAACAGAATAAAAAGGAGAGGAAGACCTTTGGTCTGCATTCTTAGGGGCAATAAATCCCTAAGGACTCTGTACTGCAAATACAAGGTGATTGCAGTTTGCAAGTCTGGCGATACTGAGGTACATCTAATAGTCCTTTGTCTCTGAAGAGCGAAATATATGACAAACTCCACCTTTTTCTCACCTGGAGCGCCACATCCTCCAGTGAACTCAGAGTTCTCTTTGCACAGCAGACACTGGCAGGCAGGGGCTGGCAACATGAAGTCCCCAGTGCAGGATCTCACTGGCTGTGCCTGCAGTGCCACTGCCAAACATGGGTGGTATCACCAGGTCTGTGCTGATGCACACTGATGCTCAAAGCAGCAGATCTCACAGAGAGACACACCAATGACTAACATGAAGTAATTCTCCTATACAGCAGAAGAAGTGCAGAGGAAGTTTTTCACACAGAGGGCAGTGAGGCACTGGAACAGGTTGCCCAAGGAGGCTGTGGATGCCCCATCCTCTGGGCATTCAAGGCCAGGCTGGATGTGGCTCTGGGCAGGCTGGTCTGCTGGTTGGTGACCTGCACACAGCAGGGAGGTTGGAACTGGATGATCATCGTGGTCCTTCTCAACCCAGGCCATTCTATGATTCTATCATTTATGGCCAGATAAATCACTGCCACTGAAAGATGTGGTTTATCTTCACCCTGGACTCTGGTTGTCACCTCTGCAGCTTCCTAACTTTCTTGCAGACACATTTTCATTCTTTGATGCAGAGCAGGACATGAAGAAATTCAAAACAGATCTGATTTCGGCAAGTGAATTTTGGAGGTTTCAACTTGTGCAGGACAGTTGCAAGTAGCAGTTAGAACCTGTAAGACCCACTTAAGGCACAGAAGAAAAGCAATACAAACTTTCATTGTTGTTCTTTACCTTCAAGTATTACCTCCAAATGAGACTACAGTGAAAACATTATAATGATTTGGGGTATTTTAGCACGACTAAATACCACTGCTAAAAAGCCCTAAGGAAACCCACTGACACAGGATGATGGCAAACTGCACACACAGCCCACACAGCAGTTAGCAAACTTGTCACCGAATGAAAAGCCCTCAAATGAGGTTGGACAAAATAAGAATATTGAGATGATCCCTACAATCCAGGCAGCTAATACACAGCATATTAATGCTCTTGAAGCACCTAGTGGATGTCAAGCTCCCTCTTAAAAATACACAACATGAAAAGGTTTCCTGCAGCTTCCTCTTTTTTTCCACTTTCATTCTATGTCAGTAATAATGTGCTGTCTGTGCAAAGCGTTTATTTGGGCTTAGCAGACAGCTGAGATTAACAACACTTAGTTATGCTTCATGTCATCAGCATCGTCTCAAAAGCTCTCAATCTGCAAGAAAAGCCCAACTTTGTTTGCTTAGAATGTTTTCTTTTCCTGTTTAAGCTATTCACAATTTCAGTAAGAGTGAACTTGTGCATGCCCATTGTGTTTTGTACCTATACAAAAGCCAAGCAGAACAATAAATGACTACTTTTAACACAGCTTTATGAATACTGGCTAATTCTGGAAAACACAATTGTGTTCCTTTGAAAAAAGAATGTGAAAGAATTCCCAACTCCACAAATACTGCCTGAAGGCTATGAAAGTAATTATCAGCCAGGATGAAAGTGAATATCTGAATGTTGCTAATTTATGTTCTGTATAAAACAGTGCCTTTCCACATGAGCATTAGTGACATCTGGCTAAATAATGTGCTATATTGAGAAGTCATGTGTGCAGCACACAGTATGGAGAAGTGCATATTTTCCATGTCCTGCAAGTAGCACTCTAAACCCAGTATTTTTTTCTACTTGAAGCTCAGATTGCATTACAGTTGTTTATTCTGATAGCAACCACTAAGTTCAAATGGTTTCTTCGACAAGCTTCACTGAAATGTCTCACATATATAAAAAATGTATGTGTTACATATACATAGATGTCCCATGTATACCACACACATATCTGTATGACAGTTGATGGAAATCCAATCTTAAGGTAAATAAATGACTTTTTTTATTGCTTATTTAAACAAATGACTAAGAATGTTAAGGAGAAAGTCTTATCACAGACCTAATGTTGTATTTAGAAGTATTTTAGTAAAATATTTTCATAGCTTCAGCATTAGTGGACCCCTGCACAATGCAGAACACAGGAAGGGTATTTGTCTGCTTTTAAACATCTCACCATGAAGATGCACTGTATCACTCGGAAGCCTAAATTAAAAGCCAGGAAAATTTACAGACATGCCACTTTTTAGCTGTTGCACACTCTTATGCTCATTGCCCAATACTGCAAACCACTCAGTTGGCACTGCAGAGCCCCTCACACAAAATTCACTGCAAGTCTGATGTTTACAGTTTTTTTTTAGGATGCAGCAAAGTGTGATCACTAAGGAAAAAAGAAGTACACAAAACTGCATTCACCAACAGTGACCACACTGCAAGACGAGCTACTGTACTAAGGTCACCCTCTATATATACATAACCTAGGAAACAGCTGTGGTGTTGACAATAGCACTGTGTGTGGTAGCAAAGTATAAACCTCTACTAATTGACATAAGTCCCTGAACTCGATTCAGTAGCCATAAAAACACTTATGTGGATCAGCTGCAAGAAGGGGAATGGAGGAAATGGCATTCAGTCCTAGGGTAAATTATGCAAACAAATATTGACTTTCTCCATGGTAACTTTTATAGCTAATAGAAACTTTGAATGGTATTTTGAGCCAGATATAAATAAGCAGAAATACAAGAGAAACCAATAAACATACACCTCAGAAGAGAAACACTCCATCCCAAAACACAATAAATAGCATAATAAATAGCTTTGCAACGGGAATATTTTTATTCTGCAGTTTCCTGAGACCAGAGGGCACCATTTTGTCTTCCCTATGGAGTCTGGATGAACTCTAAGAAAAGACTGGGCCACACTGCTCACTCCTACAGGGAAGCCTGATGTATTGCCTGAGCTCCATGTGCCAAGCTGCCCTGGCGCAGCAGAGCAGGACAGAACTGGGTGACAGAGATAGAATCATAGAATCATAGAATCATAGAACCACCAAGGTTGGAAAAGACCTAAAAGATCATCCAGTCCAACCGTTCACCTATTCCCAATGGCTCCCAGATGGGACACATGCTTTCCTCACTGACCTGCCAGTGGGCACCACGCACCTCTCAGCTCCAGTAACTGAAAACACACCTACCATGCACCTCCTTCTGAGCTGGGGGGGCAACACTGCAGAGTGGGACAGCTTAACATTACCTTTCTAGACACTGTTAAACAAGAGGAAACAAACGATCAGAAAATATGAAATTTTAGATACTGGACTGGAATTTACATGCAATGCATCAGAGATCTAGAAGCACATTATGCATCACTATGGAGTGATAAATTCAAGTATAAGGAGGGTTAAATATGTTCCAGCATGCTCTTGCAGATTTCTCCTTAATACTGTCCCTTAGCTTGCCACGCTGGATGTGCCTCCATAGATCACACACTTAGCTGGAAACTTGTATCAAAATGTAACTGCAAATGATCTTATTTCTAACACTGACCTATGCTGGTATGTTAAGGAAAAATGGGGACTGGGAAAGTCTGTATGAAAGCCTTTGGTGTGAACCACTGCACCTCCCCTGGGCCATGGCCAGACACACAGAATGCTCTGGGATCACTGCTGGGGAACAACCCCTTAAAAAGCACCTACCACATTTGCCTGGAACTTCCATAAGGCAACATTAGGAAAATAGAAGGAACAATTTGCATACACTGATACACAGTACATGTTTGTTCAAGGATGAACAGCATACTTGTTTCCTTTTGGAACCTCCTGAAGACCATCCTGCACAAAGCTGTATTTTGGCACAACTCCGCACTGACTGAAGAGATAATGGTAAGACAGTAGGATGCTAATTGTTCATCTTCTGAAATTACTGATTACTACTGTCATAGTTTTGAACCTACATCTTAAAAAAAAAAAAAAAAAAAAAAAAAGTCTAAAAAAAATGATTGAAAAAAAAAAACCAGCACTGCCACGTCCCAGTGAAGAGCCAGCCAGGGATCTCTGGCCAGAACCTCCTGCCAGCAGCCCTCCGCTATTGGAAGGAAAATTCCTGCAGAATGTGAGCTGCCACTCGCCCCACAAGGTCTCAGGTGCACAACAGGAGACCTTATGCCATAAGCAAAAGTGTATTTTGATCACTCCCTTCAAAAAGCAAAATGGCAAAGAGAACTCACAACAGTAAGATTACTTTGCAATACATTCCATTACTGAAGGCACTTTTGAGTTTTTAACTTCTCACCCAATCACAGCAAATATTAATAAATTAAGACTCATCTACAACCTAGACAAAAAGAAAATGGAAAATTATTATACTAATTAATTACATGGTACAGTCAACAATCAGTACCCACAAGGAATTTCAGATGCAACCACTTGATTTATGGTAAGAATCACCCTCAGGTGTCTTAGGAGAAGATGCTAAGCAATCTAGAGATCATAGGATCATAGAATGACCTGGATTGAAAAGGACCACAATGATCATCCAGTTTCAACCCCCTGCTATGTGCAGGGGGGGCTCCAACCAGCAGACCAGGCTGCCCAGAGCCACATCCAGCCTGGCCTTGAATGCCTCCAGGGATGGGGAAATCAGAAACAGGAAGTCATTTCAATGTAAATTCATTTTCTCTGCCACCATAAAGAGGCAAAATCTCCCTTTTCCTCTCTTATCCATGTGTCCATGCTATAAAAGTGCAGTAATTTGATGAATAAAAATGAGCTAGAAGCAATAAAAGCAATAACATAGAATGTGCTGTAAATGGGTGATCTCTGGCACTTACTGTATGAATTTTCAGTGAACTACTTTGTATCAGCATTACTTATCCTCACTAACAAGAAGGAAAAATGCTCTGGATG